TGCGCGTGTGTGTGTGTGTGTGTGTGTGTGTGTACGGGATGGCAGGGTGGGGATGAGATTATGGATTTTTTAAAACTTTTTTTAATAGTGTATTTTATATTGTATTTTTTTCCATCACCATTTATCCCCTTATGCCCTCTTCTACCTCCACCTACCCTTCACCTCGCCCCCCATCACCGCATTGTTGTCTGTGTCCATGAGTGCCTTTTCCTTTTTCCTCGAGATTATGGAGTATGGATTACAACCTTCCTAAACTATAAGGATGATAGCCTTAAGAAAGACTTAAGGGTAACTCAAAGGTAGATCCTAGGTTTCCTTTTCCTCCAAAATATATTAGAATTCTTTTTTAAAAAATATTTAATTTATTTATTTTTAGAGAGAAGGGAAGGGAAGGGAAGGAGAGAGAGAGAGAGAAACATCATTGTCTGGTTGTGTCTCACGTGCCCCCTACTGGGGACATGGCCCACAACCCAGGCATGTGCCCTGACTGGGAACTGAACCAGCAACCCTTTGGTTCACAGGCCCACACTCAGTCTACTGAGCCATACCAGTCAGGGCTGCATTAGAATTTTTAGAAAAGTTAACACATAAGGGGGAGGGAAGAGGACAGCTATAAGATTTGTCAGCAGTGTTCTTGAGTTTATTAGAAATAGGAAGGAAATGAGACAATAGAATTTATAATGACAGGTCTTTTTTTTATTGTCTTTGCTGAGTAGAAATCTTCAACAGTACACATGATTACTAATATATGTTAGTTCACACATAGTTAATTTTTGCCTCTTTTTGTAAAAGATTTTTAGACTTGCATTTATATGGAAGAGACTGCATAGTATGGTGCTGGGGTGGGGTGTGATGTGATGGAGAGGAGAAGGTTTATTCTGTGTCGTCGTCACATGCCTGTTGTTGGTCGTCCTGTCTTTTGGTGTATGAGGCGAGCTGGCCTTCCTGCCCCACCACCATAGAGGCATGGGGCTGTCCACACAGGAAGTCCTTCCCAATTGCTGACAAGCAGTCTTCCTGCCGGGGCCAATGCCCACTTGTGCAGGCAGTGCAGAGAGGACCAGCCACCCCATTTATTTACCACTGACTTTGTTTTTCTGTCAACTATGGCATGCAAATTAAGCCCAGATAAATATGAACATGAAAACTGAATTAGCTTGCTTCCCTGCCTTTGGATGGACACCTTTGATGCATAGTCTGTTTACATGACCAGAAGCAGTGAAATCAGGCCAGAGGAGGCTGAGATAGATTGCTGCACTCTGAGATAGACTACTGGTCCTGGGTCTGGTGTTCTTCCCTGTGGTATTCTAGCCACCCAGTCCTTTAACTCAGTTGGATTTATGTAAATTAGTTATAAGCATCATCCAGGGGCAGGGGGAAGGGAGAGGTGTCTTTTCAAATTTTAGGGCAGCTTAGGGACTGGGAGACGCAAAATGTAAAAGGACAACCAGTGATGAAAATGGGGTTTGGTAAAAAATTGGCCCTTTGTAAACTTTTGTCTTCTTTTGTTTTTTAAAATTTAACATTTGTGCTGTTGAGATATAACTACTAAGTGTAGTTACTTTAAGTTTTTCTGAGTCCTGAAGTTGTAGTTAAAGACGTGTGAGTGCATTTCAGTCTGGCAGTGAAGGTTTAATTCTTTGCTGGTTAAGTTGAGCCTTCCTAAAATGCTGACTCTGTTTTGCCTTAATATGCTGTGGTGTTCAAAAGCTGTTCGCAGAATTTTTTTGTTAATAAAAAGATAGTAAGGTAAATTTTTAAAAACCAACCTTTTTAAAGCTAACTTTGTTAAACACACACACAAGCTGACTGCTCATTAAAATAGTTTAAAGATGCCTTTGACTCTTTCTTAGGAACCTGTAGCCACTGACTGTATTAACTGTCACATGTGGGAGAAACTTGAATTTAGTAACCAGCGTGCTGGAAGGATGGGCACAGGAGAGTAAAAGATTACAAACAGGGCACCTAGGGCAGAGTACACATGCGTGCGGTGCCCTCAGAGTACCGTTTCAAGGTTCTGCCTTTGTTGCCCGGCAGACCTGGCTTCAAATTCCAGCCCTACCACTGACTAAGTGTGTGACTTGGCATATTACTTAACCCCTCTTGAGACTCAGTTTCCTAATCTGCAAAATGGGAGAACAATAATGTACCTGCCTCATTGAATTAAGTGAAATAATGCATGTAAAACCATCAACACAGTGTCTGGTACATATTAAACATGCAATGCATGGCTGTAATTATTGCTCACACTTTTTAAATTATCATTAACCCATTCTGAATATCTAGGAATAATCAGTTTTATTGTCTTTGAGTTTTCTTCTTTGAGTATGTGTCCAGTCTTTTATCAGGATTTAAATTTTTAATTGCAACAAGCTCTAAAAACTTAGTCTATGATGAAAAATTTTTCTGCACCAGGATATAAGAAATTGACCACCTGGAGAAACGGAATGTCTCTCTCTCTCAGATCTCTTTCTCTGTCTCAGCTAGTTATGAGAAGTGGTTTCTATGAGGATAACATTTGAATTTGAACCTGTTTCTTATAGGATTCACCAGGGGCCAATTGTCCTCCTCAGAGGAACCCCTTTCCTCCACCCTAGGATCTGTGCACCAGGAGATTTTTTTCCCCTTAGGGCAAACCAGAGGGGAAGCAGGAAGGGACAGTCTGTATTTGCTCCCCACCCACTTTCCAGAGTTGGAAAATGTTACTGTAATAAATACGAAGGACTGTCAAAGGTCTGGTAAATCAGCTGCATAAATTCTGAGATGTAAATCACACTTCTGCTTATGCCAAAAATTAATACATAAATAAAAACCTACTACCTTCATGTCCACACAAAATCCAAATAAATCATACCCTCAAATGTGTCTTTTAACATAGAGGTCCACACCCAGCCTTCCACTTTCTATCCCAGAGCAAAGCAGAGGCTAGAGCTGAGGGAGACTAGGAATGCTGTCTTTAAAATGTGTGCTAGTTCACTTGCTTTGTGTTGGTATAATCCCACCGAGAGGTGGCGGTGGACCTGATCCACAGCTCCTCCTGGACTTCTCCACGTCTTACCTCAGGTGAGACTTTTCAGCCTCTGTCAGCTGCATCAAACACCATAGGGTCCTACCGTGAAGAACTGTGTGGTTTGTGGCAAGGACGAGTTCTTGGACATTCATCCAAGATGATTTAAGAAAAAATGCACAGTTGCCCAGTTTTGTCTACAGCTATAAGTTTTTGTGTAAATCAAAGGCTTGGGACAGGGAGGCAACTGTGTGTTACTTTCCAGCACCTCTGTTAACTGAAGTGAGAAGTAGGGCATGCCTGGCTAATTTCAGGTAGCAACTAGCAGATGTATTGTGTGATTTGGAGAAGAAACACAGGTCTCTGTGTGGCATGAATGGGGGTCTGCGGTTTTACTTGCAGAAAATTGGATTCGTTATCCCTTAGAGAAAACCAGGGATGGGAGGAAAGAATGAGTTTGACTGCTTCTTAAGGGCATAAATCAAAAACATTGGATAGGATATGATCTCAGGCAGTTTTTTTCTTGGGTTAAGCAATACTGATGTTCCCAGTTCAAGTGCAGCCTTCACTTATACATTACTGTTGTTAACCTGTAACCTGTCTTGGCACTATCCTTCTAAAAGAGAATCCCTTGGGGTAAATTGGTGTTTGGACTTAACGATCTCAGCAAGGACCCTGGGCAGTGAGAAGCAGAATCTGCATAGTGTAGGACATGAAGAAATGGTTGCATGTCAGACTGACGAGGCTCCCAGTGCATTGGAATACTGGGAAGTACAGGATGGTCGTGGCAGAGACCGGGCACTGGGCCAGATGTCATCATGGATGGTTGAGATTACGGACAAGGTGTGCAGTGTTACATTTATTGCAAGGGTCTGCTTTTTGAACTTTCTAAAGTGAAATTTAATTGTGTCTTAGAGATGCATAATTTTCTTGTTTGTGATAGTAAAAATCAAGCTGTAAGATTTAAAATTTTGTTGAGCTGTCCATTTAATTTTATATTTTCAAACTATTACTTAATCTAAGTGATGCCCTTAGCTTAGCATATTCATTATTTAGAAGATGTGAGGTGAGGAAAGTTCTGTCCTGGTGTGAAACTGAGCATTTGCTGTAAGATGACTTCAGGGTGTGTTCACTTCCATCTCAAACGGAGCCATTCAACTTCCTCATAAGATGTGTGTGGTGTAGGGACAGAGACTGTGGTTGCTTTTGATTGGTTAACAGAATTATCTGGTGTGAGTACAATTTCAGACATTCTTCCAAGGTGGCTGCTGACTGTGAAACCACACTGAGCCCTTGGTTGCAAGCTTTACAAAAGATGTTGGTTGCTGCAAGGCCTGGGAAGGTTTCCAAATACTCCACCATTCTCACAGGGGTTAAGTTTCACAAGGTTAGCCAGATCGAAAGGCAGCATGCCAGTAAATCTTATCCAAATGTCTCCGTGAAGATCGACGCCTGTCCTAAGACTAGGTGAAGTTTGCTATATTTGAGCATCTTGATTGAACTTCAGCTTTCTTACCCTTGAAGACTAATCGCTTTTCCCCCGCAAGTCATCTGAATAAAATTTATCAGCAACTTTCAATCAGATGTTCTTCAGATTTTGAAAACCTTTTCAAAAGCCTAGTGATTTCTAAATTACTGTATATTAAAATGATATTGCTGCATAACTTCATGCAAGTTAATGTTGAGTCTCAGTAGACATGTTCCTTAAAATCTGTGAATAAATTAATCTTACATAAACTCAGTCATACTTAAGGTGCACATAGTAAAGGTGCTACTTAGTTTTGTGTTGAAGGGGAGAGTTTTTCATTTTTGTTTTCTATAAAATGAACAGGGTTTTTTTTAAGGTGTAAATTAAAACATATGTTAAAGTACCTTAAGATAATCTCTATTTATATCTTGGTGACCTCATTTTATTTTGGAGATCAAATGGCTTCTGAATGGTGCTGAATGCCTTTCACCTAGAGTTCCTCTAATGCCCGTCTTTGTTTTCCAGCAGTCCCTGGTCCCAGCCCACCCCATGGCCCCGCCCAGCCCCAGCACCACCAGCAGTAATAACAACAGTAGTAGCAGTAGCAACTCAGGATGGGATCAGCTGAGCAAAACGAACCTCTATATTCGAGGGCTGCCTCCCAACACCACCGACCAGGACCTGGTGAAGCTGTGCCAGCCGTAAGTAGCCGTGGCTCTCATTGTTTTTAGCTGCTAAATATGTCTTTGATCATATTATAGAGTGATATAAATGGTGTTATAAGAGAAGTTCAGTACAAGACAAATCTGTGAATCCTCATTATCAGCACAGTGACAGTGTTTCCGACTTTCAAGTCCTTGGACGCTTATTCACTCAGCCCATATAACAAAATAAATTGGAGCATTTTCTCAGTAGAATTTGACTTTATTGGCATATGAGAAGTACAGTGTGAATTATTTAAAAACTGATGGCTAGATCCTTCGGACGAGTGCTTATATTTTGTGTGTGGAAGCACTTCTAGGGGGCCAATCTATCTCATAATAATAGAAACTGTTGTTGTTGTTGTTTGTTGGAAAGGTAGTTACTGTCAACCCTTATCCTAAATGTGTGTAGAATTCTTAATTCCAGGCAGGAGATGGTAGTCTGTCTTCATTAGCCACCTGTACTTCTGTGGTCCGAATTGTTCACCCTCATCTCTCTGGGAATTCTTGTTCCCCACATGCCTATTTCTGTTCTCACCACCACCCTCTCTGAGTCTTGTGAAGAAATATGCACATGTATATAAAGTTCCAAAGTAAATTTTCATTCTTTGCTAATGTTGTTGATAAATGGAACATAAATATGCTGTTTTGCTGCCATTACATTTAAACCAAGGAGCCAGAAATACAGTCCAGTACAGGGATGGTTGTATAACGACTTAAAAGCCTTTAATCAGTTTGAGCTTCTCTACAAAAGCCCACATATACAACAGCATCTTTCATTTATCCAAAGACGGTAACAGTCATTCACAAAAGGAATTTTATGTTACTGAAGAAGAAAACGTCCACTAGGACTGTATCCTGTCCCCTGAAAAAATATTCCCAGGTCTAAACATCTCGTTAATAGCATCTTGTTGTTGTTGTCCTGGGTAAAATGATTAGATTTATTACTTCTTATTTGAAGAAAAAATTTTTTTCAAAATTTACTTGAAACTAAAAGTAACTTCTGGCCTTCCATGAGGAGGTGGTGGCAGCTTCGCTTTGTTCCATTTTCAGAGGGAAGGGTGGGACAGTGGTGGCAGTTCTGCAGGGTCCCAAGAGCTCTGCAGACATCACTCTGAGCGCCGTCCCTGTGCTTGGCCTGTGTTGCTCCGCTGATCACCCCCTTGGACTTTGACTGCCTCCCCTTGCTTCCAGGGCAGTGAAATAATGTCCTGTGCTGGGGACTATTCTGAAAGCAAGTCTGACTCTTAGGGTTTGCCACACCCAGCCCCAGAGGCAGAGGGAACTTCGCCAGGCACACCCGGCCCTCTTGCAGCTGTTCAAGACCACAAATAGGCTTTTGCTATCTTGTCTGCTGCTGGCCTTGGCTGGCATCTTCCTCTGCTTTTGCAGCATAATTACAGGTAGATAGAATGCCCTAAAGTCTAAGGAACTAAAAATAGAACTTTGTAGAAAACAGAATGAAGCTAACCCTCAAATTCCTGAGGTATAAGAGTAGGGAAAAGAATTTCAGATGACAAATTGTTCCTTACCTAGTTTTGAATCATGTAAGGTGAGTTTTAACATCAAGGAGATAGATAAGCATAAAATAATAGAGTGATGTCATGTTTTATATACAGTACATATGTATTTTAAAAATTGCAAACTTTTGATTGAATCAAATCATATTCCAAATGCCCAAGAGCATTTGATCATTTTTTCTAGAAAATTGTTCCTTTTTTGTTGTTAGTCTCTTTGAGGTATGTGGTTTTTATTAATGGGTGTAAACAACACTTTCTTTGCTGTTATCAGTAGCACTCTCACTCTCAACTTTCATTTGCAAAACCCCAGGTTTGTCGTTTAGCTCCAGTGACAGTTGTCTTGATACGTACTGCACAGACTCAGACATACAGTAAGAGAGGACTCTGGGTCAGCATCTGCTGAAAGCTTCATTCCTTTTAACATGGAGCATCTCATAAATACGAGATTTGACTTGATGACAGTTTTGCGTCCTAGGATGGATAAAGAGAGAGCGAACAATGACATTCTTGTTTTGGACTTAATTGTTGCCAATAAAGAATAACTAGTTAGTGACACAGAAATTACAAGAATTATGGGAAGGTAAACTCATCTTAGTACTTAAAAAACCCAGTGGACACAGATTTTTAAAAGAGCAAGTATCAGAAACTTCTCAGAAAAGGTAAGTATAAATTCATAGCTGTAAAATAGAAAAACATTTTAGAAATAAAAATTTAGTAATCACAAATTAACCTGACTGCAGGTGGATTGCAGGAAAACAATGGAAATAAGTGATTTGGATCTCCAGGGGTTTGGGTGTTTCAGAGGGTATCTCAGAGGAAGATGGACTAGATGTGTGTAATAGTGACCCAGTTCTGCACAGACAGTGCATGAGGTCTAAAGGCAAGACTGGCGTGAAGATTGTGAAAACTGAAAAGGAAAACAAAAGATATTTTTAGAAAGCTGTGTTGCATGTAGAATATACAGATGTTACCATGTTAGAAGAAATGGCAGTGAAAAAGTTGACGTTGTAATGACACAAGAGATGACAAGTTAAAAAGAGATGACAGTGGAGAAGCAGCCTCACCCCAGTCAGAGAGACTGGGAAACGTGGATCATCATGGTTACTTGGAGAGGAAGGCAGCCCTGTGTTTAGGTTAAGGAAGGAGGTAGCATCAAGGACTGGGCAGGGGTGTGACCGTGGTAATGGTGGCAAGGTGATGTGGATTGATAGGAGATAAATTTTTTAGGAGCCTTTGATGATACAATATGACCATCTCCAGCTAACTTCTAAATTATGAAATGTGTATGAGAAATCTTGTTGGGACATCATGACTACTCCTGGCTGATGCAACTTTGCATCTTGTTTCTAAGACATTATCTACTCAAAAAAAATGTACATCAGCACTGGCTGGGCAACTCAGTTGGCCAGAGCATCATCCTGATACGTCAAGGTCATGAGTTTGATGCTCCGTCAGGGCACAGAGAAGAATCAGCCAATGAATGCATAAGTAAATGGAACAACAAATCAATGTTTCTCTCTCTCACTTCACTCAGGAAAAAAGTACATCAGTACAGTTAACCATCAAGTTTAGGGAATAAAATAACCTAAGAAACAGAAAGGATTCATCTGCTGCTCTTTAACCTTCAAGCATTCTTAACTCTCTCCCTTCTGTAAAATCAAACAAATACCGTCCTTGACTTTGTTACCATTTTATTTTTCTCATTCAAACGTCTTATGTGAATTTTTTGGAAAAATGGTTGAGGGCTCTTATTGCTTCCATTTTCTTGCCATCTTAACCCTTTGCATTTTGCCTTCAAGTTCTCAACTGAAACTGTGAGGGCATCTTCTGTCTCCCTTATCTGCTCTGGCTTTTCACTTTCATCCACTTTTCCTCCTCAACTCTTGGCTCTTTTGGTATCAGTTTTCTTGGCTTGTTCCTCTGTAACCCCATCCAGTCATTGGGTTATTCTCTGCTGATAGCACCTCAAGTTAAACATGACCTCCTTCCTCTCTAAACTGTCGTTTTTCCACGTTCTCTTTCCTCATCATGAAGTTGTGGAGCATTGTTGACTATGTCTAGTGTCCTCTTAGTCACCAAGTTCTGTAGCTTCTTCTTTGGCCTTTCTTCTTCCTTCTCTCTTCCAAAAGAATTAGGTGGTTCTTCCCTTGCTTCCTACAGCATAACAAGTGGGCACCGTTTGCTCCTGCTGCTGCCTCACCTCAGGGGCTTCTCCAGTGTCCCTCTCTTGATTCTTCAAGGCAAGTCCAAGTTTGCCTGGCCTCCTTCATGGATGCACTACACTAAATTCTGCTTATTTTTTTTATGTGTTACAAACAGCATCTTATTTCCATACATTTCTGCTCTCCAGGTGCCTATACATTATTTAGCAGCTTGTTTGTGATAGTATAGAGTCTTTACAGATTTTTCCACCTACATTATAAAATCGTGGTGGTCAGTGTGGCAGGTTTTGGGTGCCCCAGAGTTATCTGCCACAGAGCTAGGCACATACCTAATTCTCAGTCGAGAGCCTAGAAAATGAGTGAAATAATGCTCATATCATGAAGTTGTGACTGGGTTGGTCAGAATGTTTATTTTTTTCTGTAAGATGGCTCTAGTAGCACTTAGTTGTCTTTAACTTCATTTGAAACTGTTTTGTTAGATTGTAGTGTGGCAGCTGTTATGTCAGTGCGTGTTTTTTTAAAAAGCCATCAAAATTGCTAAATTTTTGTGTAGGCATTTTAATATTGAAGGTGGAAGAAAATATGCAACATTTTGGCATATTATGCTTTATTATTTCAAGAAAGGTAAAAATGCAACTGAAACGCAAAAAAGAGATTTGTGCAGGGTATGGAGAAGGTGCTGTGACTGATGGAATGTGTCAAAAGTGGTTTGCGAAGTTTGTGCTGGGGATTGCTCGCTGGATGATGCTCCACGGTTGGGTAGACCAGTTGAAATTGTTAACGATCAAATTGAGACATTAATTGAGAACAGTCGACATTATACCACCTGGGAGGGTAGCTGACATACTCAAAATAGCCAAACCAATCAAGTTATTGGTGAAAATGAAAAATGTGTTTTTTATTTTACAGAAAATACTAAATGGACAATTTGGCCAACCCAATATTAAGCAACTGGTTTGCTGCCTAGAACACAGTCATCATTGAATAAATATTAGTCTCCCCTGTGCCTGTATCTTTGCTCCTTAAAATCCTAACTACTAGAATAAACTTAAATTGTACATAATCCTACATGTAAAACGGAGGAGTAAAAGAAAATACATTCTGAGCTTGAGAGCTGGGGAAGCTAGAGTTAAGTAGGTTATATTAACACAACCCCCAGTCTCCTCCTCTGTGAGGCTTTTTTTTTGGGCGGGGTAGGTGGGGCGCTTGCAGAAGACTAGTTTCAGCCTCCTGAGGCCCATGCCTGATTTATTTCTTGTCGTAACAATGACCATTGCATGGAAAAATCTCTCATTCAAGTGGTCTTTTTCTGAAGATT